AAATAAATAAATAAAATCTTTAAAAAAATCATATTCATAATAAGATATTAGGTCTTGGGATTAGTGGAGGCAGCTTCACAAGTTCTGTAGCAAAACCTCTATCCTGAATTTAACCTGTAAAAGAATGACGGGATCCACTGATGATGTCGTTAGGGATGTTTTCCAATCTGAACTCCCCTGATTCAAATTCTTTAATTTTTCAGTCCATTGAACTCTGCCGACCACTGGATTCCCGACTGGAACATGTTGACTTTGAATGTCTCTTTAAGTGCCTGAGTGTGTGCCATCTCATCCGGGTCTGTGCCTCCCTCCTGTTGGAACGGAGGGTAATCTTTGTTGCCAAAAGCCTAAGGTGAGAAATGTGTAGAATATGTCGCTTCCTACTGGTATTTTACTTGTTCTCACTATTTTAAAATTTGGGCATATTCAAAAACTGTAGATCTCAGTTACCTAAGGCCATAGTGACATGGACAATTCCAAATGGTAAATAATCCAAAAGCTGTTTGCATTAGGCTAGAGCAGTGACTTTGAGATTGCAATTGGTTTATCTTTCTAAATGTGTTTTACTTAAACTGTTGTTCAAAATTCATGTTGCTGAAAACAATTCAGATTGCTGGAATGAATACGTCATGGGAATAAAAGGCACAGCATAGGGAATATAGTCAATGATAGTGTAATAGCGTTGTGTGGTGACAGAAGGTAGCTACCCTTGTGAGCATAGCATAATGTACAGAGACTTTGAATCATGATGTTCATGCCTGAAAATAATATAACGTGCATCAACTATACTCAGAGTTTTTTTTAAAAATTGGTACTGCTTTTCTGAGTACACACTAATTTTTAGCAACCATAAATTATGGGAAAAAGCTGGTTAAGACTAAAATTTTTCAGTAAATTAAGTTAAAAGTTTAAACAAACTGTTAAAAATTAACGAGTGATCACAGCATCGTTGATCTGTGATCACTGATCACTAAGCAGCGTCAGTTTGTCATTTTGTAACATAATATCTGGACCATTCCGCATGTGTCGCGTGTGTCGCTCGGTATGTGACACCATTGGCTTTCTTCTCTACTAGCACCCTGTCCAAATGTGGCCATGCTGTGGTCGCCACATTGTATCCATTCACCTGGCAGCATACCTACATTCCAGTCCTCCCAGCGTCTATGATTGACATCGTGTGCTCACCCACCCCATTCCTTATTGGAATCCTGTCTTGCTCCTTACCACAGCTCCAGGACCTACCCATTGAAGAGGTAAGATGGGAGAAATAGTACCTATGGAAAAGACAGGGCACTGACAAAGGAAAACAAATCACCTTAAAGAATGATGGAGCTGGGGGCGCCCGGGTGGCTTAGTCAGTTAAGCGACTGCCTTCAGCTCAGGTCATGATCTCAGGGTCCTGGGATCGAGTCCTGTATGGGGCTCCCCGCTCAGCGAGGAGTCTAATTCTCCCTCTCCCTCTCCTTCTGTGATCTCTCTCAAAGAAATAAAATCTTTCAAAAAAAAGAAGAATGATGGAGCTGTCATTCACATTAATACATAATTATTATCAATATATTATGCTATCATGTTTTTGTATTGATTTATTAAAGTGAGAAAAATTCTGCAGTACATGTGAATCCAAAGTTGTATCTTAGTTACAGTGGTGTGCCGTGGGCTCATTGTTGTGTTACTCCGAAGGGTAGGTCTTTTTGTCCATTTTAAGTCAAACACAAGAACTCCTCTGGGTTAACTTAAAAAATTGTTTCAGGGGTGCCTAGGTGGCTCAGTTGGTTAAGCGTCTGACTCTTGGTATTCTCGTTGTGATTTCATTTGCATTCCTGATTACTCTTGGGGGTGAGCATCTTTCTATGTTTATTGGCCATTTGAATATCATCTCTTAAAAATTCATTATCTGGGGCGCCTGGGTGGCTCAGTCGGTTAAGCGTCTGCCTTCGGCTCAGGTCATGATCCTGGAGTCCCGGGATCGAGTCCCGCATTGGGCTCGCTGCTCAGCGGGAGTCTGCTTCTCCCTCTGACCCTACCCCCTCTCATGCTCTCTCTCTCTCAAATAAATAAATAAAAATCTTTAAAATATTAAAAAAAAATTCATTATCTTTCTCCTGGATTATTTACCCTCATTGATTTGAAGAGGTATTTTTATATTCTGGATGTCAGCCTCTTTGTGGCATGTCTTTTTATTCTCCAAAATGGTGTTTTTTAATGCACAGAAGTTCTCCATTTTAAGGTAGTCATAATTATCAGTCTTTTCCTTTATAGTTAGTGTGTGGGTTTATTTTATTTAATTTTACTTTATTTTATTTTATTTTATTTTTGTGAACTGTTTATGTTTTTCTTTATATTAACTTCATGGAGATATCCTCCTATATCATCTCCTGGAAACTTTGGTAGCTTTATTTTTTTTTTTTTTTAAAGATTTTATTTATTTATTTGACAGAGAGAGACACAGCGAGAGAGGGAACCAGAAGCAGGGGGAGGGGGAGAGGGAGAAGCAGGCCCCCCGCAGAGCAGGGAGCCCGATGCGGGACTCGATCCCAGGACCCCAGGATCATGACCTGAGCCGAAAGCAGTCGCTTAACCAACTGAGCCACCCAGGCGCCCGGTAGCTTTATTATTATGCCTTTAATTTTTTATTCTGAATCCCGGGACCTGATTTTTTTTTTTTTTTTTGCATACGATAGGAGGTAGGGGTCAGTTTATTTTTTTTAATATGGATAGCCAACTATCCTAGTACCATTTATTGAAAAGATTGTTCTTTCCCATTACTCTGCTGTGTTAATCCCCACCTTCTTTCTATTGAGCTATAATTGACATATAACATTGTATTAAGGTTAAGGTGTACAACATAATGATTTTATACATGTAAACATTGTGAAATGACTACCACAAGAAGCTATACCTCACATAATTACAATTTTTTGTTCTTGTGATGAGAACTTTTAAGATCTGTTCTCTTAGCAACTTGCAGATATACAACACAGTATTGTTTTTTTGTTTTGTTTTGTTTTGTTTTTAAAGATTTTATTTATTTATTTGTGTGAGAGAGAATGAGAGAGAGCACATGAGAGGGGGGAGGGTCAGAGGGAGAAGCAGACTCCCCGCCGAGCAGGGAGCCCGATGCGGGACTCGATCCCGGGACTCCAGGATCATGACCTGAGCCGAAGGCAGTCGCTTAACCAACTGAGCCACCCAGGCGCCCTACAACACAGTATTGTTAACTGGAGTCACCATGCTGCACAGTACACCCCCAGGGCTTATTTATCTTACAAGTGGAAGTTTGTGCCTTTTCACCACCTTCGGTCATTTCGCCCACCGCCCACTCCCCCACCTCTGGCAATCACCAGTCTGTTCTTTGTATCAGTTTTTTTAGATTCCACATATCAGTGAGATCATACATTATTTCTTTTTCTCTGCCTGACTTATTTCACTTAGCATAATGCCCTCCAGGTCTATCCATGTTGTCATAAATGGCAGGATTTTTTTCGTTTTTATGGCTGAATAATATTCATATATATATATACATTACATATATATGTATATATATATGAATCTCATATCTTCTTTATCTGTTCATCCACCAAAGGACACTGGGGTTGTGTCCATATCTTAGCTTTTGTAAATAATGCTGCAGTGAACATGGGGGTGGGGATATCTTTTCAAGATAGTAATTTCTTTCTTCTTCTTCTTTTTTTTTTTGGATATATGCCCAGAAGAGGGATTGCTGGATCACATCCACATGGTAGTTCTATTTTTAATTTTTTGAGGAACCTCCATACTGTTTTCCGTGGCAGCTGCACCAGTTTGCGTTCCCACCAACAGTGCACGTGCACGAGGGTTCCTTTTTTTCCACATCCTCACCAACACTTGTTATTTCTTGTCTTTTTGATAATAGCCATTCTGACAGATTGAGGTGATATCTCACTGTGGTTTTGATTTGTATTTCCCTGATGACCAGTGATGTTGAGCATCTTTTCATGTGCCTCTTGCCCGATTTGCATTTATTTGGAAAAACGTCTATTCAGTTCCTCTGCTCATTTTTTTTTTTTTTTTTAAGTAAACTCTACTCCCAACATGGGGCTCAAACTCAAGATCCTGAGATCAAGAGTCACATGCTGCACTGACTGAGCTAGCCAGGAGCCCCTGCTGTGCTCATTTTTAATAGGATTATTTGGCATTTTGTTTGTTTTTCTTTGCTTTTGAGTTCTATGAGTTCTTTATATGTTTTAAATATTAACCCCTTCTCAGATATATAATTTGCAAATATTTTCTCCCATTTTGTAGGTTTTCTTATCATTTTATTGATGATTTTGATAGGGATTACATTGAATCTGTAAATTACTTTGAGTAGTATGAAAATTTTAACAATTTTCTTCTCATCTGCGAGCACAGAATATCTTTCCACTTACTTGTGTTCTTCAGTTTCTTTCATCAGTGCTTACTGTTTTCAATGTACAGATCTTTTGCTTCCCTGGTTAAATTTATTCCTAGGTATTTTATTCTCTTCGATGCAGTTGAAAATGGGATTGTTTTCTTAATTTCTTTTTCACATAGTTCATTCTTAGAGTACAGAAACACAGCTGAGGGGCGCCTGGGTGGCTCAGTTGTTAAGCGTCTGCCTTCAGCTCAGGTCGTGATCCCGATCCCAGAGCCCTGGGATCGAACCCTGGGATCGAGCCCTGCATCGGGCTCCCTGCTCCGCGGGAAGCCTGCTTCTCCCTCTCCCACTCCCCCGCTTGTGTTCCCTCTCTCGCTGTGTCTCTCTCTGTCAAATAAATAAATAAAACTTTAAAAAAAAAAAAAGAAAGAAAGAAACACAGCTGATTTTTGTGTTACCAGGTGCCCGTTACCCAGGCGCCCGTTACCCAGGCGCCCCTGAACTTAATTTTGTTTAACACTATTTCCATTGCTTGAGAGAATCAACATATTCTTCCTGATCTAGTAGTGCCTAATGTATGTCTCTGTGAATGTCTCTGGTTTAACCAACCTGGCTCCTTGATCCCATAGGTGCTGATAGTTGATCTCTGTGCAGACAAGTTCTTACAGGAGGTAAGTGACAAATGAGCTGATTGCATGATGTTTGGGGATAATTGGACAGAAAATATGTGAAAGTACTTAGAGAAGATGACTCAGGCAAGACTTTTAGTTCCTACACATACTTGACACCATGCCCAATCATACAGGATTGACCTGAAAATTGGGTTAGGTTTATAGCTGTCTCTCCCAAAGAAGGAAGGAGGAAAGAGATTAAATGTCATTATCAAAAGAGGTAACCCTTCTTTGACATCCAGATGGGTTGGTGTATAAGGCTCTAATTTAATTGAATTTAACAAGCATTCAGCACTGATTATTTCTAGATACTCTGTTAAAATCTAAAAGTGAGTAAGACACAGTTTGAGCCCTCAGACCTTATAATCTAACGATGGGAAGGGAGAGCAGACATATCTGTAAAGCTTTAGAAACAGTGTCATAGAAATTTCTACAGGGTACAGTAGGGGCAAAAAAAAGTGGTCATTTATTGTGGGTATTGAAAGTGGAAGGGAGAGTTAGCAAAGCCTTCTTGGAGCAAGCGCCCTGTATGGAACCTGTATATAAGTTTGTGAGCACTGAACACATGGTGAAAAGAATGTTTCCCAAGACTTTGTCTCCTTTCAAAACCAATTAGCTCATAACGTTTGAAACACTGCTTATTTGTGGATGACCCTTGTAATGCAGTGTAAGGCTTGCAGGTGAGAGATACTTGGTGGAAAGGTGCCAGAAAATGTCATAAGACATATTATTTATTTTCTTAATGTAGTTAAGATATGTGTACCATCACCGTACTGAATTCTGCTCAATGTAGGGAAGGAAGGTTCAGACTGAGTCTTTAGCCAAAATCTATACAAAGTCACCTGTGGAATTTTGGGGACTTAGTGTACATTGGAGACTTTCTCACAGCTCATGAAAAAAATCTCAATTTCTTCTCTTAAGGTATCTGATGAGGACGAAATTCTACCTCCTAAACTCCAAGCTGCCCTGATGCAGATTTTGGAAGAACGAAATGAAATCTTGGCTCAGGAGCAGAATTTTTCACAAGGTATGAGACAGATGGTCTGAGGACTCAAAATCAAGGCAGTAAATACTGACTGGATGCCCAGCACCCTGCTAAAGGATGTACAGGAGTATGCCATTGCCTAGGACGTGGAAAGCTTAGAATCGGCTTCCTTGCTGCCCCTCAGATGTGCTAGACCCCATCTATTTCAGGACTTTGACACTCGCTGTGTTCCAGTTCTGGAATGCCGTTCCCCGGGATGTCCACATGGCTCCTGCTCTTCTTTCCTGCAGGTCCATGCTCACATGTCACTCTCTCAGTGAGGCCTTTCCTGACTGTCCTTTTAAAATTGTACCCGTTCCCTTAGTCCTCCAGCTCCGCTTCCCCTACCTTAGTTTTCTCCAGGGCTTTTACTGTCATCTGATGTGCTAGAAATGTCAGGTGCACGAGAGCAGCAACAATGTGTTTTGCTTTATCTCCAATACTTTAAACAATAGTCAATAAGTAGGTACTGGATAAATATTTGTTGAATAAGGGTGAAAAATATTTACCGAGTGGCTTACTCTGTACCAGGCCTTGTGCTCAGCACTTAGCATACGTCTTATTTCATCCTTGTAATATCCTTATGAAGCAGGTCTATTATTTAATCCCCCTTTTACAGATGAGAAAACTAAGGCTATTTGCTGGTGGGGAACATTAAGGGAGGAGTAGGTTTAGAGAAATAATTAAAAGTTCATGAATCCCCCTTTTACAGATGAGAAAACTAAGGCTATTTACTGGTGGGGAACATTAAGGGAGGAGTAGGTTTAGAGAAATAATTAAAAGTTCCGTTTTGAATATTGAGATGCCTATTGGATATCCAATACGTAGCAGACATTCAACTAGAGATATCAAGTAGGCATTCATATACATGAATTTGGGATTCAGGGAAAAGATTTGAACTAAAGACATACATTCCGAAGTTGCTGTTTTAAAGCTGTGGGACCAGATGAGGTAACCCTATAGAGTGAGTATAGATAGAAAATACCAGATTTAAGGGCTGAGCCCTGGGTTGGCTGGTAATGGTGTGGTCAGATTTCCAGTGTTTGGCAGTAGGGAAGAGGAGGGGGATCCAGCAAAAGGCAAGAGCAGCTAGTGAAGGAGGAGAAAAAAAAACAGGGGAGTAATATTAGAGAAGTTGAGTGAAGAGTGCATTTCACAAAGGAAAGTAAACAGTTATGTCTAATGCTACAAAGAGGTCAAGTGAGATGAAGACTGAGGATTGGTGGATTTGACAATGGGAAGAGCTTAGAGACCTTGATAGCAGCAGAATCAGTGAGATGGTGGGAAGAAAGCGAGACTGGGGAAGGTTCAAGAGAGAATTGGAATGGCATTCAGCTTTTTGTAAAATTTTAACGGAATTACAAAGGGCCAAGAATAGTTTTGTTTTTTTTTTTTTAAAGATTTTATTTATTTATTTGACAGAGAGACACAGCGAGAGAAGGAACACAAGCAGGGGGAGTGGGAGAGGGAGAAG